TTTTTTTGGACGTTTTCTGAGTGAATTTGATGCAGAACCAGGGTTCATGAAGTCTCACCTCTTTCTTGGTGGCCTTGTTGAGACACTTCCTGACCACTGAGAACCGGCCCCTGCTCACACAGAACATCAAGTCAGCTTTACTGCTCCATCAACACAAACCTGCGTCCGAGCTACGGCGGCGGCGGCGTTTTACCGTCCGATCTCGCTGATCTCACTGAAGGCAGAGTCGAAGTTTTCTTTCCACTGGATCCCGGTTCCGTCACATCCAGAGTCTGGACACAGAAAACAGAGATGATCCAGAGTGTGGTGACACCTCCAGAGATCCAGACATCTGGTTCAGAAAGCTGCTGTCTGGACCTTTAAAGGTTCTGTGAAGCCCGCTTTGGGTCATTTTAAACACTGAATGTTGGTGTTTTGGTCATTCAGGAGGATTCTGGTGTAACTTTGGACAGATTTTAAGTCATTTATGATTTTTTTTTTTTACCATTTTGGACGAATCTGATGAATCCTGAGCAGGTTTTAGGTGATTGTGGAACATTTCTGAGCTGCTAAATGTTGGTCACGTCCATGTTTGGTGTCATTTAGGCAGAAAACTAGTTTTTATGGTGATTTAAAACAGTTTTGGGCACTTTCTGAGTTCCTTTGAGCAGATTTTAAATCATTGTTTGTGTCCTTCTGGCAAACTTGAGCTCATTTTTCTGTTATTTTTGGGACCAGATCTGTTGAATCCTGTTTCAGGCTTCAGGTGGTTCTGGAGGATTTTAAAGTTGTTTCATTTTGGGCATCATAGACGGTTTTAAACATTTCTCTGGCATTTTGTGGGTTACTTTGGGCAGATCTGAAGTCACTGTGCACATTTTTTTTTTGGTCATTTTGGACATTATCGGATTCATTCTGGAGAAGTTTTAAATCATTTTGGACTTTTCTTGGTCCGACTTCAAGGACAAATGGTTCTAAACACTGTTACATTCATCGTACCTGTTGTTTTATAAATAAATCATATTTGACATTTTCTCATGTCATTAGTTTACAGATGTTTGGTTTTATTATAAATTTTGTCTTTTCACAGTGAGAACCTTTAAGGAACAACATTTGAAACGTTAACATTCCCCAAACGTTCTGTGAACATCGGGTTAAAACGTTTTCTTTGGGCTGTGACTGGACCTTGTGGCTAGCGTTAGCCGGTGCGGTTCTGGTGCGACTTACTGCTGCTGGCCAGCGTCACCATGTTGGACGGTTCTGACGGCGGCCCGAT